ATGTATTTAAAAATATATAAGTATATTTATCAGCAGTATGGTTACCATAGTATAGGCTCTGCCTAGTTTGGGACCAGACGGATGTGTCTGATATGTCACCATCATCCTCCGAGACTCCGAACTAGGTTGGGGTCGGCTTTTAACTCTGTTACGATACGACTGAACTTAATTTATTTACGTGGCCGTGAATATTTTCGGCTGCCAACAGACTTCCACAACCAATCGATAGATTGTTGTCTTTGAAAGTTTTGTAGATAGATTGTTGTCAAGCTTTTTAGGGCTCCAACTATAAAAAAATATTCGTATGGCAACCGGGACGGGCTCACCCATCCATAGACTGACCTGGCTAGGATACAAGATACAACATATTTAATTTGCATAAACATGTGTACATTAGGATTGCTTAACTTTGCAATGTTCTAACCTGCTCGCTTACCAATTAGCTACGAGATGTGTATGGTTATTAATATTCTTCTGCCTATAGGTACTCAGCAGCTACAAAAAGTTTGTAGACATGTCTAATTGTTCCTGAAGTTAATAATAAGGCTTCAAAACATACTAACTTGTTGGTTGTAAAACAATATGGAGAGATTATTAAACCACACAAAGGAACGCGTCTCTTTACTTATCGCTGTAAATGCTGAAAATAAATGGAGATTCATCCGGTTGTGTCACATGACGGGTGTCACGCTAGGGTTGCCACTAAACATGGAAATTATTGATACTTTTAAATCATAATCATATGATGAAATTATTGGTTTTAGTTACTGCGATTTCACCTTTGATTGTGAGTTGGTCATAGACAAAGGATAGACAGATTTAGACCTTTCGCGAGTCAGGACAGATAATTTTATGTGTAGAATGGCGTGGTATTTGAAGAGCGTTGAATTAGTGGGTTCGATTTTATAGGGCAAAATTTTATAGGCTTTTTCTGAGAGAAAAAATAGCCTAAGTTACTCCTTATATAGACAGCGACCTGGTAGTAAAATATTTAAAAAATCTGTCGTTGTTTTGACGATTATCCGGAACAAACAGACAGACAGACAAAAAATATTTATACTGGTTTTTAGGTATAGGTATCATGCAAATAACCGTGTGAGCATGAAAAAACTTATTATTTTGACACTACAAACAGACACTTCAATTTTATTATGTATGTATTTATTTTTATAAAGACTATTACTTATTTGAACAACACTTTGTTTGTATTATTATCCTAGCACATATTGATATTATAATGTGTCTAGAACAGACTATGTGTGTCTAGACACATTATAATATCAATATGTGTGGGATTACCAACAGTGTCTACCGAGACACTGTTGGTAATCCCTGCATATATAAAGGATTCATGGTCATATCTGCTTGACAAGCAGATATGACCATGAATCCTATTCAAGGTATCGAAGTTCACATACATGTACAATGTGTACTTACGTAGATTCGTATCCATGATAGAAAAGTATAGTCATCTCACTGTTTACTCCCTTCCTAGCCATATCCTCACTCACACAGTAGATCTACCTTTTCTTTAACCTTCCTCTTCTCTTGTACCCTTCGACTCCCATACCTAACACTTTTTTGGTCAATTTTTCCACAGTCCCCCACATGACATGTCTATACAAAGATAACCTATTACTTCTTAACTGTTCATCCAGTGGCGCTACTTTCAGACTCCCCAGAATTCTTTAATTTTTATAATGGATGTAAAATGTGGAAAATAAGAAGCTTGTGTTTCTACGTGTCTGTGTGTGTCTGCGGATGCACACGTGCTCGCTTACAGAAAGTTGATGAAAATGCGGATAGAAAATAATGAGATTTATTTTTTTAAATCCCCTAAGAATTGCGATGGTGCGGCTAGTAACAAATACCACTATAAAGTGCCAAGCCGTCTATTATACCACATTTAAATTGACTTTTTGAAGATTCAGGAAGGCAGCTTGCGGAGCTTGACGGCGCCACGGCGGAACGGTTCAATTATACTATCACAGAACGTTAAACTTAACGCTCGTAGGTAACGCTAGACGATGCGTTACCCTGGGCGTTCTGAGTAACATCTATAATAACCAGTACATTATAATCCACTCCCGTCCCGCCAGCTGTCTATCCCACCCTTTATATAAGATAACTGCAATTCGCTTATAATAGGTTCGTGATAATATGATAAAGTTATTGATTGGTTACGTAATCGGTGTTTAGTTTGAATTGCTTTTGTTTTGCGGGAGGTTGTTCCACTCCTTGAAAGGGTTTAAGTACGAAACTAGTCGGATATCCCCGAAGAAGACACGTGAGTTTATCCTCTCTAACCGACTTCGCCAGAAGGAGGGTTATGTTTTCTAGTATATTTCTTTTGTAGCCTAAACGGCTTTATGGATTTTGGTGTTTGAGGTGTCGTTTGATTCGTCATAATTGTAAGTGTCGGTGGGTATATGAAAATTGTAAAAATCACCCGTTTGTAAATTTTAAGTTCACATTTTCACACAGTCCAGTCTTTTGATATATATTTTTTAATAATTAGCTTATTATTTATTAATTTATCTGCATTAAAGCATTTATTCAAATTTTTCCAACCATAATTATTCAAAATGGAGGCTGGTGCAAATGAAATTTCGTTGTTTTTGGGTAGTAGAGTATCCTCTACGATGTCCGATGTCGGCCACCACGCGGACAAAAGCTAGTATTTGTATATGTGACTGAGATGAGATGATAATAAATACATAATATACTATATAAATAAAAATGAATCGCCAAATGTGTTGCTACACAAAACTCGAAAACGGCTCTACAAATTAGGCAATTTTTTTAAATATTTTCGTTAAGGCACAAGGAAAACTGCCAAGAGAAGGAAAACTTGACACCACTTTATACCCGTCTGGCCAGCGTGGTATTGTAGGCCAAAACCTCCTTTCTAAGGAGAGGCTTATGTCCAGCAGTGGACTACTAAACGCTGTTGATGATGATCTATAGATCTGTAAATATATTTTTATTTTAGGATTTATCTTATCGTTATTTTATAGCGAATGATAATGATTTTATTATAACCAAATGTCGTACTAACATAATCGTTAATCCCGGTTGTATTAGTCACACAGGTTATAATAAAATTATGATCAACTTTAGACTAAGCTACGGCGTAGATTACCGGGTATCAAACGATTATTAAATATGTACAATGATAACATCGTATCAAAACATTGATCACATTAAAAGAAGGGATTATATCTTAATCTTCTTAAGCTACTTTCTGCCATCGTTCCACAAGGAAACATTTTTATCCTCATCACCTGCATAGATGGCTCCACTACTGTTCTCTTCTCGAGACACTTTTTGCCTCGCACAGCCAATCTGTGGAACGGGCTATCGTCTGCGGTATTTCAGGACCGATACGACCTTCAAAAAAAACTGTGTGACTCCTGAGTTGCAGATTCATGGGCGGCGGTGGTCACATTCCATCAGGTGACCCGTCTGCTCGTCTGCCCCCTCTAACATATAAAAAAAATCGGCTGTCTGTAAAGTCGGTTTACTGACGATAGTTGAACGTGACAACGTCATAAGACACCTCATTCACTTTTCACTGCACTTCATACTTGACGAAAACATGTAAATGTATTATTGTATAGCAGCTGTCCACTCGGACGCATCGCTCACTCAAGTAGGAGAGAGACAGATGTCGAACGCTACCGAACGCGGAGGCCGATTGTGCCTCTTTGTCGCTCGTTCCGCGCTCTCGCTTGCACTTCAAGCCTCAAATGGAACGCCTCAGAGCGAGGTAACGCCGCATGAGTCATGTTTTTTCGTGCGTGCAGCCGGCTCCATCGAATTATAAGACGTTGTCACGTCAAAAAAACGCATAATAAAACATGCATTCACGCCTCTAGACGTATGAAACCTTTTAAAAGTTTAACTACTTGATAGATAAATTATTTTCGTGTGTCGTGTAATTTTAAGAAGATATATTATTACGGAGTAGGTTAACACATTGCAATATTAAGCAATCCTAGCTAGGTTAGTCTGTGGTGACCATTCTTAACACAGTGAGACCCTCCGTGCCTCAGAGAGCACGTTAACCCGTCGGTCCCGGTTGCCATACGAACATCTGTGGCAATCGATACGGGTAGTCTAGTACTTGGGTTCTGGAGGTCGGCAGACGCTCCGCGTAAAAAATCGTAGTTCAACCGTATCGTATTAGACTTAAAGCTGATTCCAACCTAGTTAGTTAGTTAGTAGTGAAAGAGGCTCGGAAGAAGAATAACATTAGAGACAAAGTTTTGCCAACGGACTTGCTCAATCAATTAATCTTTTCGGGATAAACGGTACATGTTAATCCGGATTATAATCTATCCGCTATAATTTTAATCACATTTACGTAATACGGGTTAAGAATATCACTTATACGAATGGATTAGGGATTTTATGTCGAAGACTCTGGAAGAGCTAGATGACGACATTACGCTCGCTCAACGTAGAGCGTACAGGCGCCAATGTACCACAAATCTTCCGCAATTTCGTCCTCGTTCTTTTTAAACGGGAGGGGGGGGGGGGGGGGTACTCTGCCAGTAACACCCCAAGCCGAGGTTGAGGTCCAGGTACCACCCAGAGGAAGCCCTCTGGCATTTTACTTAATTAAGGTCGGTTAAAAGCCGTGAAAGGTTGTCTAGGCCATATATTGCCAACAGCCATACATCACACACAAAGAAAACAACAGTTGGGCTGCGATCCGTCAGGCCTCCTTGTGTTGGAGGAAAATAAAACATGTTCCTCAACAATATTATTTAACCTCGTGTTAAGTAAACAAACTTTTTATATAATTAAAATTTTTCATTGTTACAGAATAAAGCCAGCCAAGAAACAAGACTGAAGTAAAAAACTACATATTATGTAGCATTATATACAAACAGAAACATAAATAGTATTAGTAAAAACATTCCCTAACTATGTACTAGAACAGTACATTCAAATGAAAACATTATCCGCCATTTTGTTGTGACGCAAAATTTAAAATGGCGACACCGGTGAAGACGGTTATGGAGGAGAAGGAGGGAGATGAGGCGGAGGAGAAGTTGCTAGAAGAGAACAATGTACTGATTGTACCAAAGTCTTCTGCGACTCAAAATCAAGATGGTGGGATCGTTGCCGTTAAATCTTCTAAGAAAGGTGAGTTTTTTTAAATTATGGTTTGGTTTTATGATTATTGTCTGTTAGATGTTGCGATGTTGTATATATTAATACGTGAAACAAATCTTTGTACTCCTGTTTAAACAAATATGGGCAACGTAAGCATATCATATTTGCGTTAGCCTAGTGGTTACCGACGTGAACCCACGGGAATACTCGTAATTTCGGTTGCTAGTACACCTTTAAAAAAAAAGAGTTATGAAATCCTTCAAGTTTTTTTTTATTTGATGATATAGGAAACAAACAAGCAGAAGCTTCGAGACGGGTCACCTGATGGAATGTGACTGCCTAAACTAATTTAAAACTTCCTGACGTCCAAATTATTTCAAAGAGTAACAATATTTACGACATCTCACCTGGCCTTATCGTGATCTGCCGACCCTACCCATTTTTATTTCTGGGGTCTTTTAATTCTTAGTAAATTATATCGGGGTCTTTCATTTCTAAGTCAATTATAGTGGGGTAATTTCATTCGTCTAAAATTCCAATAATAATAAACAATAAAAAAAGCTCAGAATAACATAAGTTGGACAAAAGGTTCGGTCCTATTTACGCTTAAATGACTAACGATCCTCACTAGCTGGCAATAGAGGTCAAACTCGCTTTTCAATTCTGCTTCGTATTCAATTTATAATTTAAATACTATCGTGCGAGCAGGACCGACATATTGTTCATTGTTCAGGCACCCCTGAAAGAAGTGTTCGTCTTTAACTACAGTATGTCTAATTGTATAGCGGTACCATTTAGTTAATAACTGTTAAAATGCCGACATTGTGATATAATAGCCGACACGTGTACTTAGTACTCACACAACGAACAATAAGTAACAATATAGTACATAGGTCAGTCCTTTTACCTACTTACAATGTATAAGCTAGGAACTAGCTGGACGCTATTTATATCATGTAAAAATATGAATATTTAAATATTAATACGTGAAGACAATTCTTTAAATACATTTTTTATTCTCGTACGGAGAACTGTGAAATTTGGAATACTTTAAGTTTTATAGCTGGAGTTTTTTATTAGCTTAATGTGGTACGTCATATCGTAAAGCGAGAAGTTTATTAAAATAACTCACTACACTGACAGACTTCGTTCTGTCAAAAGTTATTGACCTGTTGCAGAGCCATTCTTGAAACAAGAGTTTTTCCCGTTGACAAGTTGTCACTATATCAATAAAAATATCCTGTATACAAAAACCTACTAGCCAATACGATCTCTTAAGTTTAAAAATAGAAGAAGTGTAGAAAGCTAGAAATTTTACCAAAATGTGTATTGCTGTTTAATATTATTTAACGGGCTAGTCTCTGACACTAAAATCATTTTTAAAATGAATTAAGTAAATAAGTTCACACATTTCACACACGGCCGTCATCTTCATCGTTATATTAAACTATGCAGAGTCTGTGCTATAACCAGACTGCTATTAAACATATACTTATAAATATCTAAATACATACATTCATAGGTAAATTACACCCACAACAAATCATCGTGCTTAACACAATATTTTTATGGTTTATCATTTCTATATGGCATTTCCAATTTGCAGTATATCACGTTATTTGTTTCTTCTCACCGACCACGCTCATCTTCTTTCTATAGGTTTATAATCTAAGGTACAATTACAACAATAAAATTAAAAATATATATTTGAAGGTACTTTTACAATTTTTATACAGAAACACACAGTTTAGTGAATTGCGTTGTAAAGTTATTGTGTATTGTTTAGTAAGTGCGTAATTTATTTTGGATCAAAATGCCAAAACGTCGTTATAAGAAACTTAAAGGTATGGTTTTGTTTGTGAAATCGATTTTATCTTATCTCGAAATATCCAATTTGACACCAGAAACAAAAAAAAACTATTTCAAAACTTCATAACTCGTGAGTTAATCGTATAAAAATTAGATAAACTAGAAAAAGTCAATGCTGTATCATTAACATTTTTCGTCATAGGAAGACAAAGCATAGACAATTAGAAGGTGTTTTTTTTAAGTATTTAAGTTTTACATTAAACCTATTTCCGAGATACGACATTTCCAGAAAGCGTTATAAATTCGTAAATTTGGATGGATGTTAGTAACGAACGGATGAACGAATCTGGTTGAAATTTAGCACTGTCTGGTCGGTATAGGGTTTGTGTCAAGTTTTCCCTCACTGCAGTGCAATTGTCCTGCGTAGTTTGTTTCCTTATGATACGCACGGGATGAATAGGGGTGGTGACATTCCATGTTATCATTCCGTCACATCACGGACTTTAAATGTACTTATGTGGAAAGTCATCATCTCATCTCTGTTGCTCAGTGTAAAGTTTTTTTTCATTTGAATTTTATTTTATATTCTACTGACGTTTCAAAGTGCACTGTAACAAGGCAAGCTCAATATTTTTTTTTAAGTAAACGATTTAAAAAAAAATGGAGGTTCTTAATCGGTTTTAATTATTTTAGTATATTGTTTTCTGCAGCTAGTTTTACATAATTTTTGACTTAATATAAAAATGTTAGCCCTGTACACTTGTTCTACATACGAGTATACCTAAACATGAAGTGTTCCAAATACGATATGCTTCCTCGCGCCATATTTGTTTAAACAAGAGTACAAATAATTATATTCACGTATAGAGATTATCTTAATAAAAATACAACATTTTAACAAAAAATACACCAAACTTTTTGAAATAAAATGTTATCGTAGGTTGTGCCGATTTGATTGTTATTGTACAAAAATTGATTCGCTCCATTCAATTCGTTGTCCCGTTGTTATAGCAAATCCCCATTTATCTACAAAAAACTTTTTTAGTATTTGAATGAGGATTACTGATAACAATGCAAAATAATTCAGTCATGACCATCTGTTCGTTAATAGGGTTCCGTACCTCAAAATGAAAAAAGAAACCCTCATAGGAAAAAAGAAATCCGTCTGTCTTTCTGTCAAGACCCTTTATCTCGTTAACGCGTATCGAGTTGAAATTAAAACCATATACTCAGGTCTATGGTCCCTTGAAGCTTTAAAATAACCAAACTCATAAGTTAACGTAAAAAAAACGATACGGCCGTTTATGCCTCAAAAAGACGCATACTGAATGTCGGGCAAAGCTCAAAAAAAACTGCGAGTTTCGATTTCTGAACTGTTAAAATATGTACCTATAAATGTGTAAGGAACCCAAGTGGGCGAGACCGACTCGCAGTTGTCCGGATTTTTTTGGTCAAATTACTTCTCACAAAACTCAACCATTTGGAAACGGATTGACACGGTACATACGTACATGCAACAACGTCTTTTTATCTCCGAAGGGGTAGATAAATCCCCCATCTTGCCAACCATCAATTTGGGCCAACTTTTAATTGTAGTGATTTAATATTTTACAAAGCAAGTTATTGTACTGTGGGTTGATTTATAATTTTAATTGTAAAAAAATACATTGAGCGGTCGCGGCACGTCTGGCATATGTGAAACATTGAAATTATTTTAAAGAAATAACGAATATTAAAGGATTGCTTATGATAGAAAAATAATAAATGTAGCACAATTAAAAATGTGACATTCAGATTTTCAGCCAGTCTGATGTTAGATGTTTCACACATCTAACATCAGACCGGCTGTAAGCGCGGCGACGCGTCGCCACGCCGCGACAGTATACGTGACATGTTATGCGGTGTGGCGACGCGAGATGCACAAGTGACTCTTGAACTTTTTAATTGTGCTTTTTTATTATTTCCTCTCATAATATTTTTTTCACCAGTTGATTTAATCGGGTTTTATTAATCACTAGCTGCGACTTCAATCGTGTGGAATTTGAAAAGCACTGCCTTAGTAGTGTAGGTCGGTACCCGACTGCAGTCCATGAGACCTCGGGACGATTCCCAGACCAGGCAAAATTTTATAAGGTTTTACTGAGAGAAAAAAAGAGCCTAAGCTACTCCTTATATAGACCTGGTAGTACAATATTTTTCAGTAATTTTGAAGAGTACCCGGAACAGACAGACAAACAGACAGAGAGACAAAAATATTTAAACTGGTTTTTGGGCACAGGTATCGTGCAAATAACCGTGAGAGCATGAAAAAACCTATTGTTTTAACGTTACAAACATACACTTCATTTTTATTTAGTTGTATAGATAGATAATTCATCGGCTCTTATTTAATCTTTCATTTTCTATGTACGTGTTGGTCACCGTATTAATGTATTAACTAGGCGTGACGACAACGCGATGCCATGAGATTATGGTCATAATCTTATTATTCATTCACACTTTCAAGCGCCATCGAAGTGACAATAAAATACTCTATGGCATTTTGAACTCTATGTCTAAGTTGTAGTGTTCAATTTATTTTCGAAATTTTCGAAAATAAATTGAACACTAAATTTCACTAAAAAAAATCCGAAAATATGCGGACAGATTCCCGAATCTGTTCAGAAAAGTACGTGTATGCATGTATGTGTCAGCGTAACTCGCAAAGGGCTTAAACGTTTAATACGTTTCTACCTACTCCTTCGGAGATATAAGCTTGAGTATTATGTATACGCTATGACCATAGAAATATAGAAACTTACCTCTTAAAAATAAGCAAGTTGCCTAATGATTGAATATACAGTTATCTAGAAGCGTCGTCGTGTTGTTTATAACCTAGTCGCTAATTGTTTGAGATTATTAGGGTTGTCTCCCAAACTTTTTCACAGTTTTATTCTATAGTAGCTTGCAGCCCGCGTTTATGTCTGTAATAAGTAGCCTATGTTACTAGCTGATAATGTAGCTTTCCATTGGTGAAAGATTTTTTAAAATCGGTTTAGTGATTTTTTAAATCTTAACAGACAGTAATTGGTAAAAGTAAAGTTCCACGCTTTTATTCGATTTACGACGAAAATTATTTTCTTCTTTTTAGTTCGTCTCGTTACAAGTGTGTCTTTAGTTTTTAAACTATAATTTATTTTTGCTTTTTTAGTCATTAATAATGGTAAAAAGTAACAAGTAAG